CTTTCTAAGGGACCTGCATAACTCACAGAAAGAGGAGATTACTAATCATTACTTTGTAATAAAGTTATAACATTCTGTATCTCAGGGCCATTTTACACTGGTCTACTGCTTTCACTATCACATGATAATTACAAGGAGAATTAATACTATGACAGGGAAGACTATGCAGGTTTTAAAGTATGACCTTTGAAATAAATATATTTTTTTATATATATACACACACATCTGTAATTCCTCTCCCTCTATTTCTCTCTCTATATACACCTATAATTCTGATCGAGCTTCAGTTGCCTAATATAAATCTAAGCTAAGACAGCTTCCCGCTACAGAGGACAGACACTGGCATATTTCAGAGGTGGTCCACGAACCTACCATGGACACCCTTATCTCACAGCAAGATTAGTCAAGTTCTGAAAATAGCTCACACTGTGTTACATACACAGAGTGAACAGACCACTATCTCAGATTAGATGTCCCAGAATCAGGCAGCAGAAAAATAGATGAGATGAATCCCACCCAAGACTTTTTCCCAAGCTGTGTACTAACATCAGTGTTTCTATCTAAAAGAGGAAAACAAACATTACATTATTATCTATTTTCCTATGCTTCACACATGTGATTACACAAAGGATCTTGTCCTATCTATCTGGATACATCAGACTACTCCAATATCTGACAGAATAGTAGCCTACCCACTACACTTTAGAAACGAGGAAAATATCTGTCACTAAGAAAGCTGCAGCTGAGCTTATCTTCCAACCTGTTTAAATGCAAGCTCTGTGAAGCACATTTAAAAGATAACCCAAAAAGTAAACCCACGAATTTTACAGACTCAAAATAAGATTGTATCCTCAAAGCACTCTTAGCTACAGATAAGCTCAAGTAGCAGTAAGCAAACAGTAGTTCCATAGGATAGAATCTATACTGCTTCAGCAGATGATATAGACCCCATCCCATTCAATTATAATTGCAAATTGGATTTTATTCCCAACAGAGGTGGAGAAACTAAGGCACAAAAACCTCATACGTGAGCATATATAACTTGCCTACCATTGGCTTTATATTCTATAGGGTTATTCCATGACCCCTAGTTATCCAGACTATGGGCAGTGAAATGAGTAGTGGGGACAGTTAACACAAGTTTTATGCTTCCCATCAAACTGGATGTCCACACACATTTGTGACAGCCAGGCACTAGCACCCGCTTCGGTGCTACACAGAGATGCTACAGAGAGCACAGAGATGAAAACACAACTGCAAATCAGCACTGTGACTAGCCCACGAGAAGACATGAATTGCACTGGCAGTTGGAATGATGAGAGGGAAAACCAAATCTTTCTCCATTGGAACAAAAAAGTCAAAAGCACAAAACATGCCCCAAAACAAAGAAAAGACCCGGAACCTATTGATTAACATTCCACACGTGTTAGTTTGTGAAGGATTAACCATTACTAAACTGAGAAATGGACTTATGTATCTGGCAATAACCTTCACAATCACGAAAAAACATTCAGACTTTACCCATATTTTATGGATACCCAGAAAACATCAATGAGGTTTAGGATTATTTCAATTGTATTCATAGCTGAATTAAAAAAAGAGGAGAACAGAAGCAGAACCAGAAAAGACTTCAGGATGAAACCTTGACTGCCACCGAATAGCTATTTAATGGGTCGTGACCCTGCACCCTTTCAGTAGTGGACCCTCATCTGGGTCAGGTAGATTGCCACACCTCTTGTGACAGTTCAGGAGGTTTCAGGATCAGGAGGGATTTTGAGTGAGTAGAAAGATACCTGAGGTTTACAGAAAATTGACTGCCTCTAGGAAGATTATACTAAGGCCATGCCTAGACCCAGCTAGTTTTTATAAGTGTCTTGAGAAATGTGCTTTTGCTTCATCTAAATGTCTTGAATTTCAACTATACCCATTTTCAGTCATGACAGACACAATCTTGTCCCAGGTATCCGACGCAGTCATGCAAACACTGTCCCAGTTGTGTCTTCTATCAACTTACTGTTCTGCCATGCCACTGTCTACTTCGCTTCTGTTGTACCAAATGCAAACTATTTATCTCTTGTTTTCATTGCATATTTCCAGCTTGTCTACCTGTCATGACTCTGGCATTAGCCCTGTCAAAAACATCAAACTCCTATAGCCACAGCCTTCTATTTTTAAAACATGAACATTATTGCTTTTTCCCATGTCACTCCTTCATGCCTGCAAGCATTGAATTTCTTCCTCTTTTAAATCTCTCCCTTATGACTTGAAGCCTACAAGAAAGCGTAGCAATAATTATGTACCTGGTAGACTGAAACTGCCACCTGTGATGCTGCTGAAGGCTTTTTGGCACTCCATTACCTGCACCTGATTGTTTTCCCCCCTCAGAAACTTAACTGTACACTCTTTGGAGCAGCGTAGTAGTCTGTATTGTTAGCCATTCCTCACAGAGGAAACCAGTAAGGTTGCTTATGCATCAACCAGTTTAACAGTTTTACAGTTGATGACAATAAGTTAAGGGCATTTTATCTTCAGATCTCCCTTCTTAAAATGGTAAGGTTTCCCAGTCTGAGCTGATAAAATATAAACCAATTAATACTGGTTTGCAGATACATGTCATGCAGTTCTTCCTGAAAACATGGCAAGGAACGGGTCTTTTTGCATTGCTCAACAACTGGCACCCACTACTTAGAAAAGAAATCCAGTTGACAATGAAGCTATTCACACTATGTTTGCAGCAGATTGCCAGTTAAATCTTTCCACTGTTGCTGCATGGACTTGGGTCTGAAGGGCAGTTTAGTAAAAGAAATAACCTCTCCAAAGTGGTACAAGTTCAATTTTAGACCTGTCAGCCTCAGTGCTCTTGTTAAAATCAAAATCTGTTGAGATAATGTTTCAAACCTCCAGAAATCAGATGTTTTACTTTGATAGAAATACACTGAATTACATGATTGGAAGAGTTGCCTGTACATTGAGGATATCCTGGAGTTACACTGTGATCAGATCTGCTGCTTTCATTCACCTGCTGCAAGATACTCCTGCAGTTAACCACTGCAAGCTGAGAGTGATAACGTCTCTTGTTCTGTGGGTTTCTTGCCAAGTCTGCATTTGCCCACCCACTTTGAAAAGGCTTCATCACACGTTTCAAGCACATGAATGCATTACTGCAGACTAACGCTGCTCTTTATCAGTGTTGCTTGGCTTACAGGGCAGCTGGCTCTACAGTGTATCTGGAATCAAATTAGCTGTTGATAATACGGCTGAAAATAAGCCGAGCAGCTGAATAGCTGTACCTCATGTTTGTGCACAGCTTGATCTGGTGGTAAGTCTTAACACAAGATCTTCCCAAGAAACTTTTCAGAGTAGTTTTTACATCAGTAAATCTTAAATACCTGCAGCTATGTATGTGCCTTTGAGAGCGCAGACATGAGTTCACAAAGCCTGAGGCTTCACTAGCTCCATGCAAGTATCCGTGGGGAAAGCCAGTCATGAACCAGGCCCCGCAGTAATGAGATGGTCTCCTTCAGATGCAAGAAACACTGAGCTGGCACAGCCGTAGCGAGCCTCAGGCCTTGAGCTAGCATGACCATGTAGATGTAGCCTCAAGGTTAGCGTCCCTAATCGCCTTTGACAGTCAGTAGCCACAGGCCTCTCCCTTCCCAAGAAGCCTCTCCCTTCTCACCAACCAGTTTGGCCATCCAGCTTTGTATCAACCATAAGCTGGTATAAATTCCCTGCTCCAGCCTCAGTCACTGTATGTACTCCAGGTTGAGTTTGGAGGTTTTAAAAAGGGGTTATAACTTTCGGAATGACAAAAATATTGGACAAAAAGTAAACCTCTTTGCAAAAATATAAATGCAGCATTTTCCTCCTCATCTTTCATCTGGCTTAGCACGATTTCTGCACCAAACCCTCAGCTTCCTTTGTGCTTACCATGCTCAGGTGACAAATCTATTTATAGACCTCTCAACAGCCTTTCCCGTCAGCTGCTGACCCCACACCAGAAATGATTTCTTTATTAATTATCAAATCATTAAGGTCTCCAAAATTACAGTAGAGTTGCCAATATTCTCAGCTTCAAACCACTAAGTACCTTCTCTTCTGCTTTTTAGCTTAACAGGGGGGAAAATAAAACGTGTCTCTCACCACTCTCATCCTATCTGTGGTCCATCTGCTCATAAAACATGTGGAGTGGTTATAGCTGTATTCCTGAACTGCTATTCTTACTCACTTTTTTTTTTCCCCTTTATTCCAGTGATAGAACAGGAAGTTTACTTTCATTTTCTAAGTGTTTTCCCTTTTAGTCACCTATATGAACAAGGCTTTATTTTGGCTTCCATTTTCTCTCTCTATTTTTTATTAGAATACTCAGCATGCCGTGCCTTTACCACTTGATATTTTTTAATAAAAACTTTAAAATACCTTCCCTTTCACTGTGGTTTTCAGTAACTGAATGCTTCATGTACCGACAGTCTTTCAGATATTGTATCCTTGCTAATAACAGAAATAAATACTGGTTCAGCAAAATTCCAGAATGATAAACTGTTGAAAACTGGGTTCTTGCAACATGAAATTTCAGATATTCTAAAAAAAAAGCAGCTCATGGTGCCAAAATTGATGTACAGCCCCAAACACAGGTTAAAATCACCCAGCTCAGCCCAGCTAAATTGAACTAAATGCGCGATGACCAATGTGTCTGTGATGTGTATATAACATGAATGAATTTAAGATTCACAAAATCAATGCATAATGTGACCAAAATATGGAAATTTAGATAAAATAATCTGGTTTCATTTTCTCCAAAATATTTGTCAAAAACCGCATATTTGCAAGTGGATTCCTCTGTGTTCCCAGCCCAATTCTTGACCTGTTTCACAACATTTCAGGACATGCTACATCCTGTAATATGACTGACTGCTCCTCTCACAAAGCTCCTCTCTAGTTTATGTGCACCCTGGCACACCAGTTGCAGTAGAAAATACTGTACATGTGGATTTACTTACAATTATGGCAAGTAGCTCCCATGTAGCCTGTATCATTACAGTCACAGTAAAAGGTGGTCCAGGACTGAGAGCATTTTCCTCCATGTTCACAGTAGTTGGGTAAACATCTAATTGGAGACAGTTTTAAAAAAATGCAATTAAACATAAACATTTCTATAAAACTAATGTATTGGGAAATATAATTATAAAACTGTCTCAACTCTTCATTCGGGCAAGAGTTTCCTAGGGCTGAATCACTGCATAATACCTGGAATCATTATTTATTTCTCTGAACCGTGATTTACTTCAACTGCAAGCACTAAAACCAGCAGCATTTAATGTATCCAGCAAATAGGTAAAGATCACTCTCAAGAAAGTAAAGATCACTCCCAATAAAAACACTCCACTTCCTAGTAATTAAAGTCCCGCAAACTTTCCAAGCACAGTGAAGGACAAGTAACAGGTGAAAATGTTATTAAAATCTTGCTTCAAAGGAGAAACCCCTGATCTCTGATCAAAAAGCTATCATCGTTTTCATAATTAGAGCAAGTTACATTAGTGGAAACACAAACAGCATGAAAATGTCCAAAGTAAGAGGAAAAATATGCCTCAATTATGAGTTCCATACTCTCTTCTTTCCCTCATTTCAGTTGGTATGCCTCTAAAATATTACTGTGAAGCAAATTATTAAAAGAAGAAAGAGGCACAACAGCATGCTGCTTGAGAAGTGAACAGAAACAAAAGCTGTGGGAGATAAATTCAATCTTCAGGACAAGAAGTGAATTCTGATCTGAACTGCTCTGGTATAAAAAGAGTCAGTGCAATGGAGCTACACCAGCCTAGATGGAAAACAGAGATTGTTCCATTGTTTGCCTTTTCTTTCACTTTTTTTTTTTTAAGTGTATATTAAATAGTCCTTTTTACACTGTATGCTTGACTTTTAAAAAATTAGTACCTTGTTGATATAACTGATTCAGTTTTGATGGGTGGGTGAATCAATTTATCTCATACACACCAGCACTCCATCAGGGTTTACTTCGTTGTAAACTAAGCTTCAAAATCCTTTTTCTGGCCCAGATCTTTCAGCGGCATTTGTGGCAACGTCACTGATGCTACCCAGATTTGTCCTAGCTGAAGACATGATCTTGTAGTTCATCTCACCCTTAGGAAATGTTTTTGCATTTAAGTGTGCATATTGCCTTTAACTGTGGCTTTCAGTCTGTTTCTTACAATTAAAACACATTTCATGCATGCAAGCAGAAAACATGTATGTGACTAAGGGCTATTGTTTTCACAGGCTTCCTGAACGCCACCAGCTAAGTATTCTTCAACTTACTTGACTCCAAGGCTGTTTAGAGCTGCAAACATGGACAACCAAAAGAAACTTGTTTATGCACATAGCAGCCTATCAGACTAATCTCCTGTCCTCAGTATGCTGTATGCAGTACATGCATACATACATATATTCATCTGTGTAAGTGTGACTCTGAGATTTTGTTCTAGAACTCAGGTTTATTTGATCATTATTTATAGCATTGTCCATAAAATTATAAAGATAAAATAAAAATATTAATACGAAAGGTTAATTCATTTTAATGCTTTATTATTATAGCAATTATTTATTATTCAAATACTAGAGACATAGGGAATTCAAGGAGAAAGTATGTTATTTATAACTATCTGTATTATCTTTTTAAACAGTTGTAAGATATATTTTTCTTATAAAAACCATTGTTATGGCTTCTATTAATCATTGGGCTCAAATAAAAATGAGAAAAGAGAAGGCAAAATGCATGCTTGGTCTTCTAGCTCACCAGGGAGCTTTTCTTGGAGCTGTGGAGAACATCTTGTATCTAAAACAAGAAAGAAACAAAGGGGACGGCCAAAATTGTTGGATTTGCCCCATCCCTATAAGGCAGTAAGTCTGAGAAGGGATGAGACTTGGCTTTTAATAGTATGCTGGGAAATCATCTAAAAGATGGTACAGCAACAGCCCAGCTAGCCCCGCTCTGCCACGACATCTGCTCTTGGCAATGGTGAAAAGAGTTTTACAGGCTTTGGGTCAATGCTGAAGAAGGCAAGGGCAGCTCACAGGACACAGAATCGCACAAGCAGGACTGGCTGGTGCGTGACCTGCACCCAGCTACGCTCTGCAGCACTGTGCCAGCTCCCTCAAACCAGAAGTTCCCCAACAGCTTCAGCCCAGAGGCGGCAGAAGAAGCACATTGGTTCAACAGCTCTATGCTGGTACATATGAATTGTGTCTGCAAGTGCAGATTTGCTCATGTTTCTGCTTTGGTGAGTGCCTGCCCTCACCCTCAGCATATTGTCTTTATTTCTACCTGCTCTTTGGTGATAAACAGTCATCTATGTCACCTGTACAACACCAGTAGTTACAATCACATCACGGGGTGCTGGTGACAAGAAGCATCTGCTTTTAATAAAGCCCTTTGGAGAGGTAAAAAGAACAGCAATGTGTTATTATCATAATTTACATCACCAGCGTAATGGATAAGAATGTTTTCTGTCTATATTAAGCTACCTTTTATTAAGTTAACCCAATGCAGTAGAGCTAATTAATAGTCATTTGTGGTTTGCCAAAGGCCTGTATCAGAGGCTTAGCCACACTTATTTCCTTAAAACAGTTTCCTTTTAAAGGCTTTAAAAAGTTGAAGGTCACTTCTTGTTTCTACTTGTCTTACAAATGCAGATACTTTTTCTTCTCCCAACAATGCAACAAAATGCACATCGAACTAGTCATGTAAGCTTTTAATGATATTCATAAATTCAGAATTAAACCTTTTTTTATTCTTCAGTCTATTTGCTTTAATTAGCACCAACCACATTGATCTTGTTTTTGGTCAGATAACTAAACCTTCTAAGAGCTTATGAAACAAATTTCTTTGCTACTAGAATAATTACCATAATCCTATTCTAGCTGAGCAGTTGTGTCTTCATTAGAAGCAAAATTTATCCTAATTGTTAGAGAACTCAAAATTAAGAAATACCTATGATTAAAATTAATCAAGGTAGAGATAAATCACAGATTGTTCCATTTGCTAACTGACCTGTATCCTCATGCTGAAGGATTTAAATACATACAATTAGTATATAAATTTATGTTTCCATTCTAACAAAATCAAGAAATTTTAGCAAAAACACACAGTAGTATTACAGAAGGTTTCATAGACAAAAATTTGAAGCAGGCAGCCCCTGATCTATTTGCATCTGAAATAAACAAGCAGATCAACTCAGTTTTTGAGACTATCATAAATGGGACATTTGGAATTAAAGGATTTGCCCAAGACAGACCAGGGACTCCGATCTTCTGGATTCCGGAGTAATTCATAGAATATATCGTAGTGAATGAGTCTCATAAGAAAGTAAAGGAAGCAAATAAAATTTTCCCTCTTTCAGCCAAGGAAGAAAATACACACCTCAGGCATCTAAGTGAGCAATATGCAGAGCCTACAAAAAGGCATTCACCTCCAAAACTGTTAGTGTGCTTCCTTTGAATTCAAAGGACAAACTGTATAGACATTAGAGGGCAAAATTTGTCCCTTTGACAGGAGTGATGAAGAAATAACAATGACAAAATTACTTGAGTGGGAAGGCTGAAGGAGTTCTACACATTTGATGTTACACTTGACTGGAAATAAACCCGGTACTTTCAATAAGCACCTCTCAGATTTTGTTAGTCAGCACAACACATCCTGCCTGCATCACTCTCTATTCTTCCTAAATAAAGAAAAAAAAAAAAGATAACTCTCAGAGAGAAAAAGAAAAAAGCAGCACAGACTCTCAATATTAAGACTGTCAATGTACATCATTTTGAGCAAACCCCTAAGTCCCTAAAAACCAACAATGCCGTAACAAAAAACCACATGAAATTTACAAGTTTTTCTATCAAGAAAGCATTTCTCTAAACACTATCTCAAATTAATTTTATTTCAGCATGTTTTCCTGTTTATGGACTGCAGCTATTTCATGTATAATTCAAAAAATACAACATTAACAAGGATGACTTCATAGATTAGGCCCGTATGATGAAACTCATGGCGCTACTGTAACAGCCTATATTTTGCTTCGGTAAAATGGTGTCTTTCCACTAAACTCAACAGACTGAAGCTACTCGTAAGAACTTTTGCCCTGCTCTCCTGAGCTGTAAATCTGTGAAATCCTTTGCCAAAGCTTATTTTGGATGCAAGAAATGGGTTCAAGGGCAGACAAGACAAACATTTCTAAGAGAAATCCACCAATGTTACTACACATACAATGTGTAAGAAGGGGAAAAAAAATGAGAGCATTAGAAAAGAAAGTATGACAGGAGCACGTCCCACTCTTATTTTCCCCTGGATTTCCATTTCTTGCAAAGCAGTGGACTAGGTTTCTTTAACTAAATGGAGAAAAGAGAACTACCAGAACCAGAAAGAGGAAAGCAGAAAGAGGGTGGAAAA